ATTATATTCCATTGCAATTTTCAATTTTCTGTACCGTATTTTGCATACAGATTACATTTAGTTTGTGGAATCGAATGTAATGGCTAAGCCTTTTTTTTGTGAACAGTTTTGGGGCTTCAAAAGTATATATTATTGTGGCCTGCACTTACTTCACTTAGTATTTGGATGCCTCCATATACTGAATAGATTTTCTATATCTATACACCACTGTATAAGCCCATGTCCTGTAGAATTGTGTTAAAATTGCATGATATGTTGTTACTTTATAGAATTGACGAGTATTATGTAACCCTGGGTTGTTATCATTTCTAAACCGCCTTCTCCACTGTTCATGTGTCTTGGTTGTTGTCACAGTATATCTCAAGCTCTGGGGTTGAATCCCATCTCCTGATCTTGTTTAAAACATTTCTCCATATATAACTCGTATTCGTTGTTGGATGCACTCTGCCAAACACATATCAGATATCTAAACAAAGTACTTTCGTGGGGAACAAGGGGGCATAAGTAAAATGTAAACAATACATTTTGGTGACCTGTGAAAATAACTTATAATACCTTTCACATGTATGTTTGGTCTAAATCCATGGATCCAATGCAACCTTTTATTGCTGATAACATGTCAATCAATGCACATCTATTTATTTATATAACACACAACGCATCAATAGAGGCGTATTAGAGTCCTTTACATAAAGTAAAATTGACCGATAGTCAATACTTTAAAATAACATACAGTTTGTTTAAAATAACAAAGCAATGTGCCCTTGACAATATAATATTTAAAACTAATGTGTATGTATATCATATAACGATAATACCATCTTATATGACGGTATTTCCAGTGGTGGTCTACGTATTTAGGTATGTATGTATGCCACACGACTCTGTTGTGTAACTTTAACCATCATTTTCCATTTAGAAAACATAATTAAATACCTTTACATATTTTTCAGATATATAACAATGTAATTTATTGAGTAAAAATCCAGGAAAAGACTCAATGATGCTGATTGTTCAGCAATTCCTTTTGAAAGAGTGTTTTTGTATGTGGGAAGAAACTGGAGAATTCAGAGACAACCATGCGCATTCAAGGGAATGGCAGTCCTGCACATTAACCCACTTGCTGTACTGCCATCTCCTGGTAGCCTATCAGGTTGAGGAGTTTTACAAATATGTGATTCAGAACCCTTGCCTCCAAAGCATTGGAGTATAGCTGTAATCCGAAAGACATGGCTCAAGAATTACAAGTTAAACATTTAAATTATATATGTAAAAAAAATATCCAGCCATTCTAAATCTACTACTGGTGGTCATATTTTATTTGACCATACTTCACCACCCTGGTTCGTGTGGTTTGGCGGAGTGGGGGAGGAGAAGACTTACTCACTTCTGATGTTAGCCTTGGCTGGGATTCAAACTTGGGTGGCTGGGTTCACATATCCCAGCTCCACCCTCAATTTTATTTTACCATATGTCTGACATATTTTAAGTATTGCCCATTTTATGAAGGTTCCAAAATGGCTACACTTTATGAATCTTGCCATTTCGGCCTATAAATAAGCTTGTAATGATTGGCATTAACAATGTAGATAAGGCAGTGGTTGTCTGATAAAACAGTGAATTCAAACTCAACAGTGTTGCCCTGAATATAAATAGATTTCTGCTGCTCTTCAAAGGCTACACAATCACATTCTAAAAGCATTGACATGTTTAATGAGGTTCCCTTGTATTTCAGAAACAATATTTTTTATAAACATAACTGGATACTATGTTCTTTAAAAAGAAATAAGGATTCAGTAATGTTGATAAATATAATTAGTTGCTTACATAAACTCTTCTTGAGGAATGAGGTGTCATTTGTAATCTACATGTAAGCGGCATCGCTATGCAATACGTGGAATGATTTTCTTGTAATCTATATTTCAGTATTCTTACAGCATGTATATCCAATGTTGTGCCCCTTATTCCAAGAAAAAGCTCAGGTACATCTGAAGACTTTTTAAAGAGGTTCCTACTTTTTGACGCCTGACCAATTCCTCAGTGAGCACTCCGATGTGGCAGGAATAGGAGTACACACAGGAAACCCACACAGGCAAAGAAGCTAGCACTCATTAATCGTCTGTATGCTGTAGGTTAGCAACATGCTTGCTGTAATGTTATCCACCGACCATCTCATGTCACTTACATATATTGGCAAAACCTAAAAACTCTGGCTCCAAAGCACAACCAAACCCAAAACAGATACAAATAATGGTCACCCGATATCATATTTTGACTCATAAATGTGCTTAAAAACATGTATGAGCAGTAAAAAAAGATGTTATGGACTATTGAGAGCATGCTAACTGTGCTGTCTTATGACGGCTGTATGAAGGCACAAGAGCAGTGACAGAAGGCTAAATAGAGTAAATTATCGGTTTTACAGCTGGGCTTTGTGACCCTCACTATTTTCCCAACCAACTGTCTGCGGGGTTTGGCTCACAGCTGTCTTGGGTGAGTGGTGTATTGAACGCAGCCGAAATGCACTTCACTTGTGCGAGGCAGCTTGTCATGCTTAAAATTGCCATAGCAGCAAAATAACAATGCTTCATGACCCTACCTCAATCCCACTGCACCCCTACCCTGCACAACATGTGTACAATGTCATTGCCTTTTTAATCACTTGCAACATAATGTAATACAGGAGTTGTTATTTAATTTCTTCAGCACTAAATATTCCTCTGTGGTTTGCAAAGTAGATCGTATATGCGTGACTGCCAACCAAAAAATAAAATACACTCAAAATAGTTTAAAGTGTTGTATTTTACAGGAATGCAGTAAGATGCATGTACCATAATCATACCACCAACATGTTGCAAACAACTGCTTGCATTCATTGTTAATTTATAATAAGTTTTTTCAACTATTAATTCCAAACGTATAACACCATGATTTCTCTGCAGATGCATATGGTTGGAGGCCAGTATTTTAAGAGCGTTGCATATTTTTTCCCCAATACCGTTGATGTCACATGAAAGGCCATTCTGAAGGAACCGTTTCTATGTTCCATCACTGAACAGAGAATAAAAAATCATTGCTGTGTAACGATAGTTGAGGCTGACGAAGCAGTTTGTGTGTGCATATGCGGGGAGTGGTCGTGTAGCGGTTAGCACGCTGCACTATGAACCCAGCGACCCGAGTTCGAATCCCACTCACGGCCAACATCAGTTGACCAACAACAATATGGCCTTGAACCGTGTGCTGACCATGCCAGTGTAGTATTCTAGCCCACTGGGGGCTGGGTTAGCGGATTACAAAAGATTATGATATGTACAGACAAATGCCTGCCTGCACAGTACAAGGTAGCCTCGACAAAGGAGTGAAGCAAATAGGTTAATGCCTGTGTGTGTTGGGGGGATGGGGCAGTGGCGCAGTGATTAGTGCGCTGCTCTGTGAACCCGATGACTCGAATTCGATTCCTGCTCACAGGCAAGACCAGGGACGATTATTTCAACCAGTCTTGGGCCTCCCTTAAGTCGACTTTACCTCAAATTAGTACCTGGTGTCATGTGTAAACATTGCTACTGGGAAGACAAGAGCGGCCGGGTGTGGTGCTGACCATCCCACCCCCTCGTGTGCCGTACCAGCCTTCATAAATGCTCGCTAACAGCACATGCCCCAGCAGTCTGTTAAGCCTCTATGGGAGATCTTTGCCTTATATCTAGAATGCCTACCTCTCAAGTTCCTCAACCAGCTTCTCCTTCAACTGTAATATTGCTGTCATCTTCAAAACCCTCCTTGACATTGCCACAGCTGTACTTTCCTCTTTTATCTCCTCGCCAGTATTCTTTCTCTAACTTCCTCTCCTATGAATCTTTACACAATGGGAGGCTGCTTCCCTTTCTTCCGCTGCTCCCATTGTAACCTGCTGTACAATTGCTCTTTGTATATTTATAATCCCCCATCTTATAAAAATGTGCCTATGTGTATGTCACGTCTGTAAAACATTCTTAATTTCGTGGCCCTTTGTACTTCGTGGCCATACGTGCACAGTGTTTACAAAACGCCTCTTCTGGCATTACGGTAAAACCAAATTGCAATGAATACACCCATGCGTACACGCGTGTATGTGTGGGCCCATATGTACCAACGAAAGCCATTAGGCAAGCTTCATGAAACACTGGCATTCATGTAAGGATTCTCCAAGAGACTATGTTGCGATATGCAATTCTCCTGTGCCATTGAATAAAGAGTACGATTCAATAGCAATACTTTAGATGGCGATAATTATATGAACTAACACAAACAGATGTATTCGCAAACAGTTATTAAATCACCCTGTCAAAGAATTACACAAATCCAAATAAGTCTCACGAGTTGTCTCTCCATTGCGTGTTTGCTTTTTCATAATTAACGTGATAGTATACGAGGTAAAAAAATAGGTTTGCGTTTACCACATGTCTCGTAATCTATCAGTGGATATTATAATGGCAGCATGCTAGACAGTAACTGTTCTGGTTCAATCCATTTCGATGTATGGCTTGAAGGCATATTTTAAACTATTATTCTTAATGCATAGCTCACTCTTAATTTAAATACTTGTTAAAAAACCAGCCGTGTGATCGTTTTTCAAATTGTAAAGCTGCTATTTTTACAATCCTACCCTTGACAAGCAGAATATCCCACGCTAACAGTCCTTAAATGGTCGGGACGCCTGGGCAGGGTCAACCCAAAACCGCCCTGTGATTAAGCTGCTGCTTGCGAGGTGGCTGCATGGTGAGTTTATATGGCTGTTAAATGTGTTTTTGTTTAACATGTGTTCACATAGTTGTAATCTTCTGGATCACTACATTGCAATGGTACGATTGCAATGCATGATTGCATGACACATGACGCTACATAATCATACACTCGAAAAATGTGAAAATAGTCATCTCAAGTCATTACTCGTCAGGGTGTTATAACCAAGTGATCTGCTTATGTTGTTGTGGGCATGTCAATGTATGGGTAGGTCTGCTTACCATCTCCCAGCGTGAAGGAAATCATCAAAATGAGTCCAGCGGTTCTTCTGCGGAGGTGCTCATTATCAAAGCGGTAGTTTTCGCATTTCATCTCGTTTGCCATTTTCGTACGGGTGTTTTTTTTTTTAAAATAGCGGGGCGGTCCTCGTCCCTCTTATAACATTTATTTTTAATACCCCGTCACCCCCAAGTCGGCAGGCAGGACGCAACAACTGCACGGCCAAAAAAAAAGTTACGCCGCGCTCTGCTCCATTCCTTCGCGGTTCGCTCGCAATCTCCACGAACGCAAGCGACAAATAAACGTCTCCGAAGCCCAATAACGAACCGCGCGCCCTCGCGCCCGCCCTCCCCTTGCCTTGCACACACAAGCCGCGCGCGCGCCCGTTGCTATGCGCACGTGCGCGGTGCTGAAGTGGACAGCTCCGCTCGCTGCTGTTGCGGGTGCCGTGTGTGCGTGGGCGAGCGAGCCAGGGAACGGAGGAAGGCGGGCAGCGTTGCGTGCGCTCTTTGCTTAGCTGACTACGCAAGGGGTTGGGCTTCTTCGCCGCTCGGGGTGCGGGGGGACCGGGGGGGGTGGGGTGGGTTGGCTGGGGAGGTGGGGGGTGCCAGAGAAAATAGGGCTAGGGCGGGGGGGGTTCGGGGTAGGGCCAGCAGGGTGAGCGGTTTTTACACGCGCAACGCCTGTCTCATTGGAATGACGGAGCGCGTATGCGCTGGCGCGTTCGTTTAAAGATTCAGCGTGCGCTTTTCGCGAAATGACGCGTTCTGCCATTCGCACAATTTATTTTTTGTCTTCTATAAGCATTACGAGTAAAATCTGCGTTCGTAAGTGTCGAATCATTTCGGGAGCTGGTATAACGGTGAACTAAGCAACGGGAAATGAGAGGATGATGCTTAGAGGAAAGGACAATTTTTTTAAATGCTATTCATGGAAATTACTTTCATTAGATGATTTACAATTCAACCTTCGCCAGGATGGTATTCAGTTGATTTTTACCCCGAACACGCTTTCGAAATTTCTTAAACTGAACATGTGGGAGGTTTAATAATGCTGTAATTGAGAACTCTCGTAGAGGATATGATTGCGACTTAACAGCTATAAATAGTGAGTTTAACACAAGATTTGAGGGGATGATTGTTTTATTATTTCAAATAAACTATTATAAATGTACAGGACCGACAATTTGGGAAAGTTTATATCAAATACAGCAATTTAATTTATCCAAAAGGTAGTCTTTGTATTTTAACAGTGACTTCATTCACGCATCCTAAGCATCACACGGGCTTGCTGCAGATAACGTATTCAAACAAAGGATGTAGTTGTATTGTTTGCTTATTCCAACAAGCATGTATATGTGTTGAACTTCTTTCACAGCGTACGTAGCAAACCTTCTAATCGGAGGTGTGACGTTCATCCGAACAGCAGTCTCCTTACCACGTGTTGTATCATCAACCGGACTGATTTTGGGTACCGTGCACGTTTTCCCGTTTTCACATACAAACTCTGGACAAGGGCTAGGAGCTAGAGGAGTCGATATAAAAGGTGTGGAGGGGGGGGGGAAATCTATACACATCTAGCAGTGCGCTCTTTGCTGCCAATACTCTTGAGCATAGTCTTAGACTTACACAGTGCAACCAGGCAAGTACAAATATCAGCATTAAGCCGCCAAGCTACAGCTCTTGCCCATCGATTGTCCGCAGCAATTTCGTTAACGTATGCCTACGTCAAGGTATTAAGTACAAGCAACGACGCTCGTGAGATTTAGTTCCAGATTATGTAGCATAGCGCACAAAGCAGAAAAGGTAAATAATTCATGCGAACCCTGCGTCATCACATAACTTCTAAACGCCATAATGCACCCAGAAATATTTTCGTGCCTGTTGCTACGAAAAAAGTAATGGAGACAATTACGTGACGTGCTTTAAGCAATCTGTTTCAAGATTCACTTCGTGAACATAGATGCATGTTCGAGGGCCTTTCTGCGTTACTTTGTATGCCAAAAACGCCCCCACACCTCTTAAACAATTATGACATTTGCCATTTACTATTATGTAAGTGTGGTGCGGAAATGTCTGTTGCTGTTGCTAAAATATTTCACTGCTTGTGTTCGTGCAAATGCTCATACCCGCTGGGGTAAACAGCTTGGACGTGGTGAATAAACGTGTAAAGAAGCATTGTCTTGTTAGAGCACTCCTATGCTGGATACACAACCCCGACAAAGTGCTCTTTGCATTTAGCAGCAGTGGTTTCGTGGGGATGTAGTTCAACAAAATATCGCACGCACGGGCCGTTATTTAATGTACATACATGCATTAAGTGATATATTTTCGTCCGCTGATTGTTAGCGAAACAGACAGTTGAAATGGCCTACAATATTCACACTTAACTTGTAATTAATTTGACGTAAAAGTACAGTGATATTTAGGAAACGAAACCCACAGCATGCTCGTGAGTTACCAGGTATGCTTCGAAAATGTTCAATTTGCTATTTTAATTGTTATTAGTGAAGCAGCAGAGGGAATTGATAGTTTAGCAGACGTATGTTATTTAGTTTATGAATCCTGTTAGAAAGCAAATATCTGATGCCTTGTTTTAGTAAGTAAGGTGTGTGTAAATGTCCTTAAAGGCCACATTTAACTATGTTTATTTTTTGGCTGAATGCCGCCATAATGTGTGCCCATAAAGGTGTCAGCCATTATTAAAGAATTATAATTACAAGGGACTTTGGTTAAAGTGTTGGAAAAATAGTCCATGTATTCGTAAGATGAGTGTATACCAAAAAACCCCAGCAGCACATGCCAGAATCAATCAATAAAATCACACCTGCGATGTTGGCGAATGCCTGCAACTCTCTCACATATTGATACAATGTGACTTGCCAGCACCATGGCAAACATGAGGTTTTATCATCACCATCCGTGTTCTATCCACTTTTGGATGACTTTCTCCTCATGTCGCCACCGAGCCTTGCAGTTTTGGGATGCAACCAAAGATCGCACACCTGCATATGAGCTTATTTTGTCACTTCATCTCCATGATTGATTGCATTCTCGAGAATATTCTTCCGTTGGCTGCCATCCTCATCAGCAACCTCTTCCATCAGCCACCACCCCATTAGCAATGTGTCTTGCCTCAGCTGACTTTACTTCCTTAAAAGTCTATATTTTTTTTTTCTGTAAATGTGCGCTTGTTCCCTCATCCACGTAACCCTCTCTGTCTCTAACTGTAATTCTAGCGTCCGTCTCTCAATGATATTTTTCATACTTTTCAGCCTTTCCCTCTGTATACCTTGTCATTTTCCATTTCACGTCTATGGCATAGCAAGTAATATGTGCAGATTGCCGAATTCCTTTTATAGTAAAAAAAATACCTAGTATGAAGTGTTTCCCTTTTGTATCCTTCCAACATTTTATTATTTTATTTAACACGTAGGCTTTCGCGACCAATATCATCGAAACAGGAAGATTTCTCCATAAATCTGGCTGTCGCCTGATGAAGCAAGTTGTAATTACTGGCGAAACGTCGTACTCAGATTGGAAATGTTGCGGATTTGCTCTCCAACACACTAGTGTGCTGTACTAGTAACGAATTGGCATGCTCTGTTAACGTGACAAACCTTATTAATTGGCTGTGTCGGATGGTGGTGGATTTAACGACACATTTATGTTTACGCGATCTAACCCAAAAAACACTATGTTATGGGTATTTTTTATTTTGTTAATCGAACCTGAAACACTTGAATTTTGTTTTGGGTCTATCTTAGCTGAACTTAACATCACTCTTTGTTAGCTTTTTTGAAAAATTGTGTCATCAGCAAATACAAGATGGTTAATATATTCTCTATTTATATTTATATAAGCCAGCCATACTGGTATTTAATAATGGTGTTTAGTATTAATTTACCTCTTCTATAGCCTGGTTGATGTTAAGTGGTCAATGGTAGAAACACCTTTTCTTAATCCAGCTTTTTAAAATGATTAGTTAGCCTCTAACTTGTCAATTACTCGGTAATCTTTCACCTCATGAGTAAAAAAAAATCAAATCAGTTTTCTCCCCCGCTTTATATCAAATCATTATTCAGGCATTGTTTCACAATTGTCGGCATGATGAAAGAAGTGGGAACCCATATTAGATCAAGATTAGTGGACATATTGATTATATGATATTGTATTCTTGTGCATGGCAATATGTTAAGGAGCTAAATGCCAATGTTGAGGTCTGATAGCCACGAGAGGGCTTGGGGAGATAGTTTGGAAAAGCATGCTATTCCTCCTCCCTAACACATTCCTGCGGAGGGAGCTGGTAGGAACGTTGGGTTGCTCGGTCAATGGCCAGGGTCAACGGCGGCGTGGTGTATTCCGCAAATATGCCCGACTGTGAGGGCGGGCACAAGCCGGCGTGAGTAGGTTAAACGTTGAGTTTTATAAGGGCACCACGGGGTGACCAGCCCCTCGCCACCCAGCCTCACCCCTCCCACCCCCCACCCAGCCCCACCCCACCCTCCCCACCCAGCCCCTCCCCAACCTCCCCACCCAGCCCCACCCTCCGCACCCAGCCCCTCCCCACCCTCCGTTCCCCACCCAGCCCCTCCCTCCCCACCCAGCCCCTCCCTGCACGACGGACACAATAATCCCCTGTGGGCTGGTGTAACCAGGAGGTTCCTACCAGTATAAGGTGCACAGACTACAGTGGTTCATTATATGGGTTGCATGGACACAGTTGCACTGTGACTTATCTTTCAGTTTCCATTCATGAAGGAGATGTATGCATGGGCCTGTTGATGTTCTGATGTGATTGATGGCTCCACTTGTATCTTCGAGGAATATCAAAGCTAGGTGTGGTGTTTTGGTTCTTCATTTAATGTTTACACAGAAACGAAATACCTTAATCGTGTGGAGGTTGTGAAAGACAAAACCAGATTACATTTGCATATTTGTGTAGTTATATCAACATAGCTGCAACTCCTTTTTAATTAGCATTATTTAAATATAGATGCTACCTTCATGGACACGTTGTATTTTGGCACTGCCTATTGCATAACTATGTCTAGTAATATGCATTATGCATACAAACACTAAGCTGCTGTTTTTATAGTCTGTCAGCATAGTATGTTCACTGCTCATTGAAGCATGAATGCACAGCCTTGAACTATGTGCTGCCTATGCCCAGTGTAGTATTCTATTCCAGCACGAGACTGGAGGCTGGGTTCGTGGATTACGAGAGATTATGATATGTACAGACACCTGTCTGCCTGTACGGTACAAGGTGGCCTCTACAAAGGAGTGAAGCAAGTAGGTTATAATGCCCGTGTGGTGGATGTGAGTGTTAGCTCTGTGTATATTGGTGGAGGGGAGCAGTGGCGCAGTGATTAGTGCGCTGCCCTATGAACCCAGCGACACGGGTTCGATTCCCGCTGACAGTCAATACCTGTGACGATTATTTAAACCAGTCCTGGGCCTCCCCTAGGCCAACTCAGCCTGAAATTAGTAATTGGTGCAATGTGT